CTAAGTTTTTCTGATAGTACAATCTTTTCTTTTTTTCTTTTCTTTTTATAGTATATTTTATTCTTTTGTATCATTTTTTTCTTTTTAATCTGTAAATCTTCGTTTTTTTCTTGGTCGCTAATAATTTCTTCTGATGTTATGAGGTTTACAATTTTTAGCTGTTTATCTTCGTCTTCATTTGGTTCTAAAACCGGGTTTCTGCTTAAGCAGTCTGCTTCTAGGTTATATTTTCCTGGTGAATATTTTATATTGAAGTTGTATTGAGATAAATAATATGTCAATTCACCCAGTTCTTCGTCGGTTCTACATTTTATATTCATATTTTCTAACGGCTTGTGGTCCGAAAAAACTGTAAATTCTTGTCCTATGAGCCGATGTTGCCAGTATTTTACAGCTTCCTTTATAGCTAGGCATTCCAGATAAATGGCTTTTTTTTTCTTTTGAGCATCATTAAGTTTTTTTGAAAAGTATGCGATTGGTTTTTCTTATCCATTTATTTGTGGTTGTTTTAAAATTGCTCCTATTCCTTTCAAACTAGCATCCGTGTATATGTTTATTGGTAACTTTGGATCAAATATCCCTAAAATTGGTTGATGACAAAGAAGATCTTTTATTTTATCGAATGATGTCTGACAATCTTCCGTCCAAATAAATTGTTGATTTTTCTTTAGCAGATTATGTAGTAGGTCTAAGATAATTGCATTGTCTTTTACGTATTTATTGTAGAAGTTTATTTTTCCCAAGAATTGTCTAACGTTTTTTTGTGTTTTTGGTGTAGGAAAATTTCTTATTGATACTAGATTGTCTTTTAATGGGCGTATTGAATTGTTTTGTATTTTGTGTCCCAAATATTTTACCCAATTCCTTGCAAATGCACATTTTGAAAACTTTAATTTGAAACCTTTACTCTTTATTGATTCTAATAATTGTGTTAAGTGTTCAATATGCTTAGCAAATGTTTTTGAAAAAACTAGTATGTCATCGATATAATTGACTACAAAGTCCGCAAGTTTATGTTTTCTTATAATGTTACTCAGAATCCTTTGGAAGATCGCTGGCGAGGTTTTCAACCCAAATGGTAGACAAGTCCATTGAAAATGACCCTCTTGTGTCACAAATGCTGTTTTTTCTCTATCTTCAATCTTCAAAGGTATTGCCCAAAATGCTGAGTTTATGTCTAATGTGGAAAAGTACTTGCAGTCTCTTGTTTTCTCCATAAGATCTTCAATCAAGGGGAACGGTTGTGATTGAGGCACTACTATTTTATTTAAGTCCCAAAAATCTATACATAATCTTGTTTTTTTATTCTCTTCTCGTTTGTATGCCAAGGTTACCGGAGCGGCAAATGGACTGTATGAATCTTCAATTAATTTTGATTCTAGTAATTTAGCAATTTGTTATTCAATTTTTTTCCTGTCTTCAATCGTACATCTATATGGTCTTTTACTAGGATATTTTTCAATTAATAGATCTATGTGAGCTTCATAATTCCTTACTGTTCCTATATCATATTTATTTTTTGCGAATGTTGCTCCATATTTTTCTATAAGTTTATCAATCTCATTTTTCTCTTCATATTCTAAATGGTCCGTAACTATTTCAAAATTTTCCCTATCTATGTGTTCGTTAAAATTTATTGTGTAGTTTTTCTCTTCTTTATCATCATAGTTTTTTTCTATTTCTTCTCCTTGTAGATTAGGAATTATCCTCTGTTTTATTTCTAATTTTTCATTTTGGCATAATTTAAATTTTTTTATGCAATCTAGGCCAATTGGGAAATCATAATTGAAATGTTCACTGTTTATAACAAAAATATCCATCATATTTTCTATATTAAAAATTTTTATTTTTACAGTTATTACTCCATCTGCTTTTTTAACACCATTGATTGTTTTTAAATTTGTATTAGTGGTATTGCTTCTCTCCTTTTTCAGCAATCTTGAATTTATCAAAGATACGTTTGAACCGGAGTCATAAATGCTATTCACTTCCAGAGTCTCGTTAAGCAGTACCTTTACTTTAATTAATGGTGTTAAATCTAGTTTTTTGGATTTTCTTTTATCAATGCATTTTCTACTTCAGAATTATTTACAAATTCTATTTTTTTATTTTTTTTTCTTCATTATTTTTCGGTTTAAACCAGCATAGTGCTTCGGGGTGATAACGTGAGTCTTTGTTATTTTTTTCACAGATTTTACATGGTGTTTTTGTGATTTTATTTCCATTTTGGTTATAATTTTTTTCTCCAAATTTCTTTTTTAGTCATGTGCTCTAGTTTCCCTATCTCATTAAATAAGTCTTCAGTTTCTTGTAATGACTCTCTGTCAATCCTGTCTGCTATGAAATTTGGTAAACCTGCAGCTATTAGATCTATTAATGTACCAGTATCAATAGTTTTCCTTATCTCTAATAGAAGCTTTTCTTTCTTCACTGCATATCTAGCAGTGAGCCTGTTTGGTATCTATATGACATTGCGTATCTAATTTGGCTCCATCCTTTATTTGCATAAGTTTCAATAAAATTTTTTCTCTACTTTTCCCACTCTGAATCTATAGATAATTTTATCATCATGCTGCTGTACCAATCTAGGCAAGATTTCTCTAGAAATAGTTTGAAAATTTCAATTTTCTTTCTATTTTGTATTATCTCAAAGCGATGACATTCATTCTCAAAGTCTTGTACCCAATGATATGCATTGATACTTTTTGTTGAGTATTTTTCCAATATAAATTTTTCTGAGGTTTTTTGTAGGTTTTGGCGTTCATAATTTTGCTGCTGGTTTATGAGTTTTTCTAATAATTTAGTCATAGCGTCTTCTGTGACTTCGGTGTCTTTCTTTTCTAATATTTCTCCCTCAGCTTCTTCTAAATAATATTCATTAAACATTATATTTTCTTCTTCATCCAAGTATGTTTTTCTCAAATCTTCTATGAGAGTTATCCATATTCCTCTCTTCTGGTGTCTTTTTTTTAGCGTATTCCTTATTCTGCCGTAAGCTTTTGTTTTTTCCAGAGTTGTGTGTAAATTCATTGCTTGGTGTTCTGCCGGCATAATGAAGTTCTTGTTTTCCTGTGTTCCAATTGAGGTTAGGGTAATTGCGTTGGTTTTCTTCTGCTGCTTTCACAACAAAATCGAATCTTAATTTTTTCATAATCCTGCTTTTCTTGACGATAATGTCGTTTTATAAGGATTCTTATTCTCTCTATACTAATTAGGTAAAGACAGGAACAATAACATCACTGAGTTTCTCCTGTAAAAAGAGTTTTTCTTTTATTTCACACATCTTATTCTTGTTCCTATTTACAACTATTTAGACAGGAACAATAACATCACTGAGCTTACCTGTAAAAAGAGAAACGACATTAAATGTCAATTATTCACTCTGTCTTTTCCCCAATTACAGTCTTTACATTCGTAACTTTTATACATTAATCATTACACATGGTCACTTCTCTCCTACTCCTTTTTCTTACTTTCCTCCCTCTCTCCTTGTGTGTGTAGAAACCTATTTTACCTGCGCGCCGTAAGAGTGCGCGGGATAATTAAAAAGGAAGTACCCCGTACTTTCTTTACAAATATATAATAGTTTTATAAATATAATATAATAAATATATAATGTATAAGTTTCTTTTATATTTTTGTATTAATTATAATTCTATACCTATAACATAATTATTTTGTAATAACATAATAAAAATAATAAATAATTGCATATATAATGGTTGTAACTTTCTTTAAGTGTAATAACTTTATTTATGTGTTGACCTTTATATGTACATATATTTTACATGTTTTTTATATTAATAAAAATATATATAATATATGTATAAGAAATATAATTATGTATATAAATAGAAATATATATTACAATAATATATTAAAGAAATATATTAAATATGTTAATATACTCTTATTTGCCAAGGTTGATGTATAAGTCGAATTTCTCAATTGCTAAGAAATAAACGTTTCGCGTTCGAACTTATAAAAAAATCAAAATAAATGGGAATAACTTTTTTTTTAAACTTTCTTTATATTTAACTCTTTGCAATGCTAAGTTACTTTTGATATACTTAATTGATTCCGAAATAGTGCGTCAAACGACTTGAAACCATTTGAAGTAAAGCGGTACTGAGTATGCGCATAGCCATAGCCAATGAAAATTAGGCACAGTTACCTCCCGCACTTCGGCTTCACTCTCCTCGCCTATCTTGTATTAGAGTTCCTATAAGTAGAGTTGTGCCAATCCAGATTTTGTTCTCGGAAGCCACGTGACATTCATCGACGCGCGGAAAATTTAAAATTGTTGAATGTAGATTTGAAAGATTAATGTAGTCCTTATACATTACTTTATGTCCTTTAGACATATTAAAGTAACACCAAACTTAATTCCTTCACTATGGGAGCAATATTGTCAAATTAGACCAAAAGTGTGTAGAAAAAACGGTTCAGTGGACATTTACAATACTTGCTATACTTATTTGCTATTTATAATATTTGTTATTTTATTTACACTTTTATGCAAAAAAGGACATGAAATCATTAAATAATGTAATATTATTTAAAAAGTTTTATTTTTATGTACAAAATATTTCTCTCATTAATCGTCATAATAAGTCTCATTATTTTATGCATAAAAGTATTGAGGTAAGATTCCCAAAAATTGAATGTTTTACAAGATATTTTGTATTTTATGTCAAAATACTGCAATTTACAAGCCTCATAACTCGAAAAGTACTTAATGAAAAATAACTTCATTATAGTGTTTTGAAAAGCTCTTGACACCAGCTATTAGATTTTGGAATCAAAAATAGGGGTTTCTATTTAAAAAACCTAATTTAACCTTGAAATGATTTTGAAGGTCAAGCTCAAGGTCAAATTGAAGGTCACCGTTGAATTTCTTGTTGAAAATTACTTCAGAAATGACCTTGACCTTTTTCAAAAATATCTTACATGAGAAAATATTCAGCCGTCCCGGGACTTAATTGACACCCTGTATATATTCATACTTGCCATCTATTTGCAGTTATGAAATTCATTTTTGATCCTTTCGTATGTGTACTCTGCATAATTGAGCTCGGGTAATTTCAAACTGGCTGGTATAGATTCATGAATAAATGATTTTTCTGAAAAAATAAGAATACATTTAGGCCTGATTACACCAACATTATTTTGATTTTTATCAAGACTTAAATATGTGTCTATTTATTTATAAAGAAAGATAAAAATATACACATATTTAAGTCTTGCTGAAATCTAAACTAATGTTGGTGCAATCTGGCCTTAGTAATTCTATTTAAATACATTTTTAATTACGTTTTTGTAAGTATGTAATAAATAAAACATGCATTGTTTTAAAACTGGAAATTACACCTTTTTACGCAATAAAACATTACAAACGATAATACTTAATAAACATGACAATACTTAAAGAAATTACAAACCATCACAATTTATAAACATAACAATTAAAACTTAAAGAAATAACATTACTTAATATTATGATGCATCGCCATCGTTTTGCTGGACTGGGTGCAATTTTCATTAACGCGAGTCTTTTTAGAATTAATTCTTAGCCTAAACCCTGCAAACCTGGATGCTATTTTATCCTTTAAGTTATGGCACTCTGGTAAAAAGTAAGAACATTCTTTAAATTTAACAACGATAAAGTTACGTATATTAATGTTACTTCTGGAAAGAGAACTATTATTATAACTTCTAAATATTTTCTCCATTTCAACGAAGAAGTCAAATGTCACGTTGTTAACAAAAAATATGTATCCTCTTTATAACATTTCATCATTGTTAATTTACTGTAGTGCCTTAATTTTTGTCTACGACTGCCAAGACATTGGATGCATTGCTTGCAAGCTCTATTAGTTTTTATAATACTAGTAATAATGTAACCGGCGACATTATATAAAATATTCATTTCAATATTACTTAAAGTTATATCTTTGGGTAACACGTTAGGTACTGGCAGCTGTTTATTGAGCGTTTCGTTATCACAGTCTTTTTTCATGTTTCGCAAAATTTGCAAGAAATCGGGCAAGAATTCACGATCATCTTCATCATAATTGCTAGTAGAGATTTTTCGCATGTATTGCGAAATAGTTACTAATTTTAAGTTACTTTTTAATTGTAGAGCATTTAATGTACAATGTTTTGAACGAAGAACCGCAAACAAGTTTTCGATGCAATCCTGTGTGAATCTACCGCATAAAACGAATTTATAAATTCCCTTCTTCAATCAAGTATTTTGACAGTTCAATACACGAAAGTGTCGATATAATAATACCTTTTTGAAAAGGCTTCCAATCTGTTTTTGAACCAAAAGTTAATAAAGAAATTAAATCAACAAATTCGTACAAAAACTCTATCGTTTCTATATATTTTTTTTCGTCGTGTTTGCTAATAGCAAAAGTGAGGCTTCGAGAACTAACTATCTTAAACCATCTTGCAATTTGTGCAATCAACCAAGCAGTCGTCTTGTATTTTTCTCGATTATGTTCAACAGCTAAATAGTTAAGCGCTGAGCTTACATCTCGGCTCAAAACATTGTATGCATTTTTCACCCTCATTTTTAGAAAGTGTTTGGACCTATCTAAATAATTTTCTAGCAATTTTGGTGCTAATGACAATTGTAAATCTTTCTGCGCATTAATTAGTTCCGTAAAATGTTTCGAACTTAGTGTGTTTGTTGGCAAGTTATATTTATCAACAAATTTCGCAGAAATAGTAACATTTACGTGATTCAATATGCCATTTTTAAATTTTTAAGTGCATGGCAAACATCATGAAAGAAGAAAAGGTGTCGTCCTTCATTTAATGGATGCTCACATTTATTTTGTACCGTCGAATATCGAGAAACATTAATGTTAAACGATTTCCACATTGCCTGGTTTGGAGCACCCATATTGGATACGATACCTTGAACACGCAATCCTATTTTGTTAGCTTCCTCAATAATATTTAAAATTATTGACTTATAAATCGATCCGTTTGTACTATTACCGGAATAAAAATATGCCACGGTTTGTTTCCACCTTTGAGCAACACCTGCAAGCATAAATACTAGGCCATGTGTCGCTTCATTATTACTATTATGACCTGGCAAAGTTACATTACCTACGTACGTATTCGTGGACGTATCAAACCATTTCCCCGGAGAAATGCTAACTTCGTCAAGAACAATGAGGCAATCTTTGGGCCTGTTCGTTTTAGTTGCACTGGGGCAGCTCTGGGTTTGCTCTAAACAAGATAATACAGGACAAACTATTTATCTGTCCTGTATTATCCTGTGTAGAGCAGACCCAGAGCAGCCCCAGTGTAGCTAAAACGAACAAGCCCTTTATCTATGTCGTTTTTAAACTGTGAAACTTTTATATGTAAAAACTCGAAAATTTCCGTCGACAGTCCGCTTTGAAATTTCCATTTTTCTGAATTTCTATGCAAAGTTCTAAAAGAGGGAAGTGGAAATCCTTGACTTAATAATTCTCGATAACCTGAAGTACCACATGCAAATTTTAATTGATACGCTTTAACTAAAGTACTATCACACCACTTTGGCATTCTTTTATACTGAATTTTTAAGAAATTTTTTTGTATCAGAATTAAAAAGTTTATTATTAAGTCCGTTTGAAGATTCATGCGTACGTACAATTTTTTCCAGTTTCATAATTTTCCTCTTCATAATGACTTGCAATCGGTTGTGATTTTTTTTCATTAAAACCCTCGATCTTTCACTTTTTAAATATAGTTTCTCAAGTTTTTTGTACTTCTCTGCCATACAACAATTGCAGTCAGATGTTGCGAATTCCTTCTGTGCAGTTAATAATTCGACTTCCTGTTTATGTACACTTTCATCGTTGTTAATGATATCGCATTCATTTTCCTCCAGAGGTACATCTTCCGATAAAAAAGTCTGCTTACTGGAAGCATGAATATTAGTACACGTCTCTTGGTGCTGTGCATCCACTTCCTTATTTTCCTGTTGTGCATTGTTAATTTCATTTTCATTTGATGGTGCTAAGTGTGCCAATAAAGATTCCTGCATAGGCTCTGTACTCTCGTAATGTCCAGTTTCATCACATTGAGTAATATCACAACGTCTTTAGTTGACGGATCTGTATATACTAATATTGGTGAGTGCTGTGTAGACCTCGCATTAGATCTATGCTCTGTAAAATACAATATTACCTTTCATTACAATAACCCAACAAATCAAATATTTCATTTATCATCATACCTGAAGCTCTATTATTTTGCATTTGCATGATAGCACATCCAAATATTGTTGGTATAGCGTGCACTTTCAATTTCTTCTTTCCATCAACACGCTCCTTTTCCCACATGTCTGTTGGAAAATGGTACTATAAAATAAAAGGAGAAAATTAAAATAGAATAGTTAAATAAAATAGAATAGTGAAATACATACCTCGCATAAAAATAAACCATCTTTTATTGGTAACTTTAGTTCAGTATTTTTTGCCCACACTTCTCGTCGTTGTGGATTCTTTGGAAAACGGTGCATTTTTGTGCCATGTCTTGAATGACTGCGACATCCTGGCGCTGCACAACTCGGCATTTCCTTCTGTAATTATTATAAATACATTTTATTATGCACATATGTATGCATTAACAAAACTGTCACTTTGAGATTAGATTTCTATTAGTAGTTTATATGCAGAAAAATGAATTCCGTGAAATATTTATCGCACAATATGTATCAGTTTTTTTTTAAATTAAACCTATCGTTGCTTATAAAAATAAATCGGTCAAATTGCAACTAGTCCGACACAAAGTTATCAACAAACTGAACTGTGATGAC